GACAGGCAGAGATTGAAGGGGAGAAAGAGACAAAAGGAGAGAAAGGAAGAAAGGGAGCGAATTAGAGAAAGTGACAAACAGAGACTGAAGGAGAATAAGAGACAGACACAGAGACTCCTCCTTCATGGCAGCCTCTTGACCATGATCCTGACGGTGGTATTCTCGCCCATGACCGAGGTGTCGACGCCCCATTCCGGCCCGAGGGAGGTCAGGTCAAGGCAGTGACGCACCTCGTAACCTAGCTTCTCGAAAATCCTTCCCGAGTATTTGTTAGTGATACACGTCGCCGCTAGCTGGCATCCCTTTTCTACCCCCTTCTCCATGCACCGCTGAAAAGGGTTAGATTCCTTAAAGACAATCTCCATTTCTTGAAGAAGCGGAGAAGACGCTTTATTCGGCCGGTTTGTTAAAATTGCGCCTCGCCCAACCCGAAGAATATTCGTATAAACCGACATCCATATATACAGAAATAAATGCATATCTATCGATCTATCCAATAAATATACATTTATTGTTCTATCTGTACGGTGGATATGCATGTCCAGACTGATAGATATGCATTTATTTCTGTGTATGTGCATGTCCGTGTAACGAATGTCAATTAGGCCGGGCCTGGCACAATTTTAACTAAACCGGCCGATAATGACGAAATGTAACACTCTTAGAAGCAAAATGGCTTCTAAGTGCATATAATTTTAATGCTTCTAATTCATTTTTTCTCGTTATAAAGAGAACATTCAGTTTATGACGTCCTACTGAACCTTAAGAACGAACCTCCACCAGTTTCCTGCCAAGACCACGACCTCCGAAGTCCCTGTGGACTCCTACCATATACATAGATAACACTTTGTCGACGTCTTGGGCCTCGAAGACATCAACTCCTTTCCAGGCTTCGTCGGCCACTCGAAACGACACTTCCTGGTAATAATTCAGATAACACAGTAAGGTATTAAACCACTTGTAAGGGTGAAAATGTATAACCACTTGTAAAATATATAAAACACTTATAAAGATGAATATATAAAGCACTTGTAGAATGTGTAACACAATTGTAAAGATGATAATATAAACCACTCATAAAGGTGAATATATAAAGCACTTATAAAGGCTAATGTATTTGCAACTTATAAAGATTAATGTATATGCCACTTATAAAGATTAATGTATATACCACTTATAGATATATACCACTTATAAAGATTAATGAATATGCCACATAAATTTTAATGTATATGCCACTTAGAAAGATTAATGTATAAGCCACTTAGAAAGATTAATGTATATGCACTTATAAAGAATAATGTATATGCATATGCCACTTATAAAGAATGTATATGAGATTAATGTATATGCCACTTATAAAGATTAATGTATATGCCACTTATTAATGTATATGCCACTTATGTATATGCCACTTATAAAGATTAATGTATATTCTATGCCACTTCGCCACTTATTAATGTATATGCCACATGTATATGCCACTTATAAAGATTAATGTATATGCCACATGTATATGCCACTTATAAAGATGTATATGCCACTATAAAGATTAATGTATATAGATTAATGTATATGCCACTTATAAAGATTAATGTATATGCCACTTATAAAGATTAATGTATATGCCACTTATAAAGATTAATGTATATGCCACTTATAAAGGTGAATATAAAACCCCTTGTAACCTAGAAGCACTCAGAGAGCACATGCTTCCACCAGGGTCACTAATGCAATAAAATATTCACATTCATTACGTTAAAATTCCTGATCCAGATCATGATCCAGATTACCAAGATTAAGTGACATATAAGTTGGGTTAAGGCGCACCTCTGATAGAAAATGCATAAAAAATATGTTTGTAACTTCTCGAGTTATCCTGCTAACTAATAATCACGTTACCAAAATCTTAACCTCCTTGGGAGAGGTAAATATAAAAGCCACTTATATTCGTATATATAACAAATACTTAAGAGGTGAATATTCATAAAAAATAAAAAATAAAAAAAAAAAAAAATAAATAAACGAAGTAAAATTCTATATCGGAATAAAAAAATCCAAACCAGAGATTATTTCTTACCAGTTCATTCGCTGACTGAGTGGGCGGCGAAGACTCCGCCCGTGATTTTATAAAGCTGGTTCTCACGCCCACCAGCTCGCCCGTGGGTCGATGTCTCACGCCCACGGACACGCCCGCCTCCAGGCACTTCCTGATGTCATCTGCGACTCTGCCCTTCCTGATCTGGATGTTGGAGGCGTGGGTGCCCAGGGTCTGGGGGCGGGCGCGGGCGGGAGGGCAAAGGGCGCAGATATTTATCATCGTAAGTGTGTATGTATGTGTGTGTGTGGGGGGGGGTTATATATGTATATATACACATACGAATACATATATATGTATACTTATATTATATGTATATTATACATATACATACATATATATATACATATACATACATACATACATACAAATATATATATGTATGTATATATATATATATGT